AAAAACATAAATAATAGTCCCTTTTCTCAATTGGTAAATACAAAAACTGCTTTGTTTTCAAGATGACTAGAGACTCAATAGTACAGGTTTAACCTTAGCTTGCTTATAAGAGCAAATTATTTGCAAAACTCAACTGTTATGAAGAATGTGCAAGTCGAATAAAACCAATGCTTTGAAATTCTACTGTGACTTTAAATGGCACAATTCTGTGAATAGCTGGCTATTAAAAACAAAAGGCAAAACCTGTACAAATGAGTCTGTGGTCTTCAATACCATCAAATGTGTTAACTATTGTCTATGTGCATGCATGAGAATCAATCAGTAAATAAATACAGTATTACATATTAAAACTATTACTAACCTTTTTCTTCGCTTTGTTTTGCCTTCTTCTTTCCAGATCCAAAAAAGCCAGAGAAAAAACCCTCCTTGCTCTTCTCCTCAGCCTTTCGTTTCTTCTTCCTCAAAGCAGCAGCTTCCTATGCACATAACTCACAGTTATTACTAACTTTAACTTTTATAACACTCAAAATGGTAAAGGTGGGGAGGTAACGGAAGTGGGATTCCTGTGTTAGAGATGGGATCCCTGTGGAATTGGGTGTCTTTGTAAAGCCACCCTGTGTTTGTTGTTATTTAAGATGAAAGACCAGTTTAGAGGCACAAACAGTGTTTATTTGCTATACAACTTAACGTAACAGGGGGAACTTTTTTTACCTCGAATTCAGCTCTTTGTCTGCAAATTGTAATATTCAGCACATCCAGCTTTGTTTCTAAGTTCTGCAAAAAAGTTCAAAAACGATTTTAAGAATTCATAATAATTTTTTATAACATTGGTGTAATTAGTTGTGTTCATAGGGTGTCAGTATGTTGTTAGTAGTTTGTCAGTAAAAATATTGTCAGGTTGATGGTACTTGCTTTGGGTTTCCGGTGAGTAGTTTGGTATATAATAGACCTTTCCCGAATCCGCTTGGATGACCACGGAACAATGGTTTGAAGTCCAGACTGAACTTGATTCTTTTATTCATCAAGTTCAACCTCGATTTGAAACCTTTGTTTTGTGGTCTAGTCAAGCGAATTTGGGAAAGGTCTATTGTCGGCATGGTATGGTGTTAGTAGGATATTAGTTATCCTGTTGGTTGATACCCTGTTGACACCTATTTTGAGATCGTTTGTATAGTTTATTACTACATTAATTATAACGAATAATTACTATTAGAAATTACTTTACCAACCTATCCTTCATCTTACTTAAGATATATACTTGCAGTCATATTAGAGGTGCATTTTCAGATTATTAGTTCTTTTTACCTCTAAGTTCTTTTTCTCCTCTTTTGAAAGTTTGTCCTGTAGTAGCAACTTCTTGTAAAGGGCCTTGTATTCTCTACAAATGGCTCTACAAAACACAGTGCATGCACAGGAGTTGAGAACTTGTATTAATAATTCTCTCTTATGTGCCTCTGGTATTAAAAACTCAATCTTTAAATCTTTGTTAGCATTAAAACAATTCACCATTTTCCATACATCAGTTCACTGGTCAAACACAAAGCATTCAGTCGAGGTTGCAAGGTTTAAATATGAATAATCCTTTAAAAGTACCTTGGCACCTCATTTGAGCACTTTGTGTTTGACCAGTGAACCAATGTAAAACATTGTTAGTTCAGTTTTACCTGTGACTTTTCATGTGTTTCCAGGACCAATTCCTGTGCCTCCTTCTAACATCTTCTTCCAAGACACCATCTATTGCATACTTCCACCTTATACCCAACAAATGACCCATCAATATCTAGCCAGTTATCACTCTTTTCGCTGCTACGCTCTGATTGAGACAACAGTTGCAGTAGGGAAATAGGGCAATACACTGTTGCCAATCAGTCCCTGTCGTGACTGTTGTCTCGATCAGTGCGTAGCAATGAAAAGAGTGGTAACAAACCTGAGCTGCCTCCTATATTAGGTAGCACATATCGAAATACAATCAGGATTTTTAGATATGACAAATGATCATTCACAAAACATTCAAAGACTTCCCAAAGTTTCATTTAAAGTCGTGTTTACACAGTACTGGACAATTTTTTTAACTGATCAATAATTTGACCAGTCAGAACTGTCTCATTAATTGTATGAAACATATGTTGTGTTTTAGACAGCCGTATGAAAAGATATCTGGATTAGGTGCACGTTCATACGGTATATTAGTCAAATTATTATTGGGCAAGATGTACAAAAAGTTAACCAGACGAGCTATTTACACACTCAGTAGCAATCAATTTTTTTTCTGTTCAAGTTAAAAAATTTGACACCAATTTTTAGGTCCAAAAATGCACGCCTAGGCATATGAATTTTTGTTCAGATAGCACAATTCTGTGAACAGCCCCTAAAGTGCAACTCTTTGACCGGTCAAAAACACAGTCTAATTTAAAGACGTTTTTGCAACCTTGCTTTGATGCTAGAGCACCTTGCATGGCCAATTCAAAGTAAGCCAAAAAATTCTGGCAAGCATGTTGCAAGGTTGCCTGAACAGCTATTCTGCCAAAAATCTTATATTTTTAATGTGTATTTTACATAAGCCATTAGACAAGTATAACCCTACACTGTATGAGACATACCATTTTTTTGCATTTCCATGGAGAGCTTCAAGCGGTTTGTACTTTCTGAATGGGGTATTCCTGGACATATAGTCAAAGGATTCCAACAGTTCCATGATGTTATGATACTGAACCTTGGTCAGGTTTAGAAAGATCTCTTCCAGGACTAAAGCAAGGTATACCTAAAAAAATTGAATTAATAGTCAACTTGATGAAACTACTTTAATGCCAAACATATGCTGGGGGGAAAACCTTTAATTAGGTAAATCCCAGTATTTAATTGATTTTTATTTGATTGATTTAATAGGACGTTTGCACAATGGCGTCATTGACCTCTACTACCAGACTCCTTTGCACGCTTTCTTTTGTTCAGTTAATTAGCACCAATTGTCTTACTATTCTCATGAGGGATTACAAATTTAAATAAGAAAGAAAATTCGCAAACCATCTTGGTAGTGGGAGTCAAATGACGCCATCATGCAAACGTCCTAATATTTAAATGATTTTTCAATCAGACATGCAGGTGTTGGGGAGCACCTTAAAATGGTTGTCCCCCCTCCCCCCCTTTGCCCCTGCCCAACCCTCTATATGGCCCCTGACATGTGCATAACAGCGCATCTGATAGAGTGTGGGACTTATTCAGGGTATTTTTTCGAAAGTTGTCAGAAAAATAATGAGAAATCATGTCGAAAATGACAAATAGTGCAGAAAATGATAAATAGGGTTGATTCAGTGTGATTTTAGGTCAGTGTTGAATATCCCATCTATTTTATGCTCTCTATCAGATGATGTCTAGAAAATGGCATGGTTTGAAATGGGAAAAAATTACACCCATTGGTGGATTTGGTAACATCAGCCTCATCTGTATTTAATGGCATTTTTTTCTACCTTTGGACTAGTGAGATCAGTTCCAGGTTTTGTGTCCAGCTTCAATTTACTGGTAGCAGAGACTGGCTGTAGTACTGTGAATGAAAACATTAGCATTCTGTCAGTCAGAGCTTTTTGATTCATTCTTGATAAAATAGCTTCCCTATGGGGAATGCCTATACTTTTTCCCCCCTTTCCTCACTTTCTTTGTTTGCACATCGATATGCTGTTTAATACCAAATTATAGTTTAATAATTTAAGATAGTTGTCAGTGTTGTTACTGTTGCTAAGTACTATATTATGTTCATTAAGGTGTTGTTATTGTAGTTGACAGTGATGGGACATAATTTATACAGTTAATATCATAACTGGTCTGCATTTTATTGACAACCTTTACTATTAGTATCTGTGAGGTATGAGCCTGTTTTTTCCCCATGTTATGGAGTTGCTCATGGAGTCTTACCATATTTGTAATCTTTAGGCTTGTAATTTCCTTGTATTGTCTTGGCAATACCACCCTTTGCAAAATTCTACCAAGTGCAAAGAAAATGATATCTACTTAGATTTTATAACCAAAATAATTACTATATAAATAATTACAGTATAGTTATAAATGCCAACTTGCCAACTGTCTTGTTTAGCCTAATGGCTATTACAGCTGGCTAGTAAAGGTACTAATCTTCTATCTTCTTGTAATTTAATATGTGACATGTATATTTTATTGTAAATATCATACTAAATAATGAATGATTGATTGATTGATTGATTGATTGATTGAGTATTCAATAGCAAAGTTGCTGAAAATGAATGAAGATGAATAAGCAATGGATTACACCAAGTTTTTAGATATCAAATCTTTATTGTTATATATATAATCTTATSTCATGCAAAAAAAAATCATTTACATACCACCCAATCTTCCTGTGACGGTATTTTGCCAACATCATCATTAGTATTCCAGTAAACAGCAAGGCTGTTGAGCTCCACCAACTAAAAGATTCAAAAACAATTTCTTAGCACCAAAGCATATATATTAGGGTAAGCCTATAGATCTACATTATATGTCTGCCTATATGCTGTATGTTGAAGAAATAGAAAACGTGCGCGCGTGCTGTGTGCTGTCATAAAGCACGCGGGGGTTGGCAGAACACAAGAAAAGTGTAAGGAGAAGCACCACGTGTAGCGGAGTGCTTTTGGACACTTCTCGAGTGTTCTGCCAATCCTCAAGTGCTTTATGACTGCACACAGCACAGCAAGCAAGTTTTTTATTTCTTTTATAAGATACAAATTACAATAATAGATAGGAATGACGCAACGGAAAGTGTGCGCGAATGTAATGTGCTCTCATAAAGCACGCGCTCCAAACCAATCAGAATGCGACATTCATAACAGTTATTTTATAATGATATTTATAACATATTTATGGGGCATTTTAGCAAAAAAAATGTCAACCAAAACTCCAGGTCGACTGTCATCAACTTTCTCTCATACATGCTAGTCTAATTTAGTTTTGTTTTCAATTATTTTATATTATTCCATTTTTTATTATGTGGCATTGTCAGGATCAGGGATTAAAATATCAGCCAGTCAATCAGACTTGTCCAATAAAATCTTTAAATGTCAGTCATTTTGACCAGCAATGTACATTGAGCCAGAAACGAGTTATGGCTGAGCTTCAAACTAAGTTGGCCAGTGGTTCATGATCAGCAGCTGACCGGCAGTAAATTTTCAAGCCCTGCAGAATACAAGTGCACTAGCAAGATAGCTTGCACTCTTGCCATATTCAATGATTGGATCTAGGTTATGCTATAATAATAATACTATCTATTTGACAGATTATTTGTACCTTGTGAACAATCCTAACAGCTTGGCCGGCAATACTTGGTAACCAATTCTCATCTGTAGTCTGGATTAAATAATTAGTACAATCAATATATATAGCACATATATTAAAGAAAGATTCACAAGCCTTAGGACTTTTAACTTGGTATGCATGTATTGTAAAAGTGGGACAAAACCCAGGTCATTCAGGAGTATGTAACTATAGTGCATGTGCAGTGAGTACAAAAGACACTGGCTATCAAAGCTGCAGTGTATGCATACCTGAGCAGATAAGTTTTCCAAGGTTATGCCAATAGAAAAAGGAGAGGATGGACTTGAAACCTGGAATTGTAAATGATACATATGTAAGGCCAAACAAAAAAATAAGTATGTTTCCTGTTGCATGAGAAATAATTGAGGTCGGTAGGTTGTTGTTTTTTTGAGCTTACTGGGAACTCTGTGGTGCATTTGGGAATGAAAAAAACATTAGGTTTAGCAAAAATCGGCAAGAAAATTAGGGTTGGTCACGCAACAAGAACCACACTTATTTTTTTGTTTGGCCTAATACTCATTGCATGTTTTACTGATTGAATATGAATTAGATGCAAAGAAAAGAACATAACATAACAGAACATAACTGAATATACTTACTGTGTCTTCATAACGCACATGAATATTTGAGATGTAGATCTAAAAAGAAGAAGACACAAGGTCACTTTGGAACTATTAGTATAGYTTTGGCACAATGCTTTTCTGCTTATTCCATACCATGTGTCATTACCTAGAGTATAATGATTTCTTCATTTAATGGTCATGCACATGTTAAAAAGACACAAAAATATGGATAGCACTCAAACAAAGAATTCTAAGGGTTTTTGCAGTAGAATATAAAACATATTTGCCAGGGCTGGCCTGGAACATGTAAAGCTGGTAATATGTTAAAAAATCTCTGTTCTGAATTTCTTGAATGTGTACATTATAGCATCACACTATTAGTTTTTTTTCTAACACAATATACATGATCAATATTAGTAAAATTTATAATATAATTATTGATATTGTTGTAATGACCTGTAAGTTCTTGACAACTTGCATTGCCAGCTTCTCAACAAAGCTATTACTTGATTCATCTTCTTTATCTCCTGTGCCCGCAACTGAAACATCAATCMATTGCAAACATAATTTCACATAAATGCATTATAAAATAAAAATTAATATGAACTATTAAAGGTCACAATTTAACGTAGCTAAAGACAAAAACAAGATTAAATTATGACATGCTTTTTTTAAAGTACTTTAATCTATATGATATAATGCAACCAGATGACTCAAAAGACCTGGATGTAAATAACAAAACAGCGGCCATGTTGGTTATGCATAAACAAGAGAAGTTAATGAGAAATGCTAGTTTGTTATTGCATGTTAACCAAGATGACCAGTGATTATGATGAAACAYGCACATGCTCTATATGCACTTGTTTGTGTATAAAAAAGGACATGAAAAGCATTTTGGAACTGTTTTGATAATCCAAAAATTATGATTATTTGGGGGGGCGGGGGTGTGGACGTGGTTAAAATGCAAGACTGCAGTATCTAGCTGAACAAAGATTATACTACTTCATTTGTCTCATGATTGTGGCAATCRCATATATCCAGCTCATCTGGGGGGAAATGTTAGCCAATCAGAATCAAGAATATTTGACAAAATTGAGATATCAATTTTCTTCTTGAAATTATGGATTTCCAGACCACCAAATAATAAAAAAGCATTGCATAGTAATATAATGATATACATGTAGGGCTTGATAGTGGCACAACAATGAATGAGATACATTTTTTTTTTTTTGCAATGGCTGGCATGATTTTATTTTTCGCTGGCCAACTTTTGCAGGGTTTATGACACCTCAGTTTTGCAGTGACATCGTTTTTACGTCACTATTTCAAATCAGGTTGATATTATTGGTTTCCAATGAAGCAAAAACTTATGATATGTGTTAGGGCCTCAATGTCTCCATGATAACATAATTATAAAGGCTGTCAGTTCACCTGCTTTCTTTTTCTCTTCCTCTAATTTTCTGGCCAATTCTATGGCTTCTAACTGTCTGTTTTTCTTTTCTTGCTCAGCTTTTTCTTCTTTCTCTGCATGGTATTTGATCCCTAGATTTAATAAAATACATAAATTATAGTACTGTATTCTATTTACTGTTTCTTAAAATGACTATACAAGGCTGCAAAAATTGATTTTTTTTCCTTTTTTTTCTTTTTTTTTTTTTTGATAAGGCTGTCATATGTCCGATCAGGGATGAGGGTTGACCTGACATGCAGCAAATCTGGCAGGACAAAAACTTCTATCAAACATCACAATGGAAAAAAGACTTAACATTCACCATTCAAAACCACTAATATAATTTACCAGATAAATGTCCAAAATGCAGCACCATAAAAAGGAGAGACATGAATTTATAACTTAAGTACACGAGACTATAAAGTTAGGTTGAAAAAAATACCTGTGTTAGGTCTGACCAACAGGAAAAGCCCATCAATCTTAGCAACAACAGGCTCTGAGTACAAATTCTTCCATGGTATCTTCAGTACCAACTTTCCTGCAAAGTTGTAGAATTAACAAGCATTAAATATGAGCATTAAATACAAGCATAGTGATAATAATTGTGGTACAATGAGACCAGTGAAACAGTGACTTTATAGCAATTATTGAAGGTACACAGGGCAAATATCACTGTAAAAATTTCACTTGTCATTTTAATTTCAGTTACAGAAATTGTGCTAGAAATTTTTAACCAGGTTCCCAAAGCCCATGTACTAGATAGTTAGCTGATCAACTTTGGGTCACACCCATTGTGATTACCCAGGTAGGCATTTGCCACCAGAGGTCATGACCAGCAATGAGGTTGCATGGCCTGCAGTATAGCTTCAAATTAAGCCACTGGTGAATGAGACCTCTTATAAGCAATGTAAATTACAACCATTAAAGCAATTTAATAAAAATAAATAAAAAAAAMCAAAAAAAACCAGTAATCCAATGGAGCTGTTTTGTGGGTGCTGGAAAAGCATAACTCATTTACCTAAGTGACCTCTGACTACTTTGACGGGTAGATCAAAATCATCCTGAAAGAAAATAACAGTTTCAATGTTTGATTAAAGTTAATTTGACTAAAGAAAGTATAACCCTTAAGCTTACTTTAGAAATCTCTCATGCATCTTTGGAATTATTCATGCTATTTATCAATAAATGGATGAATGAATGTTACAGAGTGAATCACAAGTGAATACATGTTGCATGACCATCGAAAATTTGTATTCCCATGAATTGTACTTAATTAATGCTTTTTTTTAGTTAAACAGGTCTTAAAATATTGGCCGAACATCGGACAACATCTGCCCATCCAGAATTGGAACTTATCTGGTTAAATCTTTGCCTTAATTGCCTGTCATTTTGACCAGCAGTTAATAACGTCGAGCAAAAAAAACAAGGTATGAAAGAGCTAAAACTAATTTGGCCTGTCATTATGACCGGCAATTACCAGCTGTTATCCTAAGCCATATTAAAAGTACAAACATATTGGCAATCCAAATACATATACAAATTCATTATGAATGCATTTGTATACATTTAAATAGGTTGGTCATGCATTTAGAATTTTCATTGGTCTTGCAGTCCCTCCAAACTGAAATGAGTCCATCTAGTCGATCTCCTTAAATTATGTGCTTTCACTGCAAGATGCATGTATTCCATTATTATAATATTCACCAAATTTTTGCTTTATAGGTTATTTTACTGCAATTTTTTTATTACTCTGCTATCTCAGCCATTTTCATCAGCTTTGTTGCAAAATTGCTGGTTTTTCACTCTATTAACAAACTGATTATTTTTAATTGACGGCAGCAAAAAACACAATTTCAATTAATCTACGCTGTCGACATAAAGACAGCTGTGAGAAAATGCAGATAATCTATTAACATTAACTATACAGTATGATTATAAATTTTTATATCACTGTGGTAAAATTTAAATGGCCAACAAACAGCCCAGTTTGAATGCAATGCCAATAGGACTTTACATATACATAACATATTGTACAACAAAGTTTTGTTTTTCTTTTGTTTGCATCTCATGAAATATTAAATGCTGCTTTTCAAAGGTCACGAAAAAGTAAATAAGCTTTTAACGAGTAGATAGACAATATTTTAGAGGAGTAAAAAAAATTGCAGAATAAATTAATCTTTCTTAGGTTCAGCGTTTTACGATTTTTGGGAAAAAATAAAGTAATTAGCATATCTGAGCATTTTGCTTAATTCAGGAACAATATACCATAACACCGACGACACGATTTTCAGGTCTTTTCTTAAATTCACAAAAAACGTATAATTTATTGTAGCTAAAATGATAAGCAATAAAAAACATATCTTTAGTAGATGTTATCTTTTTTTTATGGGAAGAAGCGAGGAAAATATCAAWATGATACGCTTAATTTATGAAAAAAATGAAATTTGATCGTCTTGAGAATCATAAAATTACAGTAAAAAACAGTAAGATTCCTCACGAATGCTTTACTAAGAATTATTTTAGATAAATTAATATAAATCTGGGATTCATAAATCAGAAGAAATAGCCAACTGGGGGTTGTTTTAGTAAACATATTACGGCCGCACTGCTATGTTATCAAGTCACGCGCCTATCAAAAATTTGACCAAAATTCGATCTAAAAACATAAATCACTACCGTTATCTTCAGCACTTACTAAGGCACTCTCTTTGAGAATAAGATTTTCAAGCTTTGCATCTCCTGAAAACATGCAGAGAATATTTAATATCGGTTGAAGTTATTAAAGGTGTTTACTATGAATCAAGGGCTGGTTAACTCGTGCGAAACTAACGATCTTACCTCCCCAAATACCGAGTTTTAGCTGTGAAGGATCAAGATTTTCCAGAAATTGGCCTCCAAATTTATTAACTAGGTCGACAACGTATGATTCAAAAACCATTTTGGAGAAAAATCATCAGGAGCGGACCATTTTAGGAACTGTGAACCTCTGAGAAGGGCTTCCTCCAAAGTAAAACAGCAGCTCTTCATTCGGTTCTGAGAATGAATACGAAAGGATAACGATCCTGTGGAGGGGTGGGGCTGGGGATGAGCCGTTACGTCATGTCTCCTGATTTAGCTAATTAGCTAATCAGCACCCTGGGGTATATTTTGGCGAATGTTGTCGAAGATCTCCGCCGGAATGTTTATTTATTTTTTTTTTTGTTTGTTTGTTTGTTTGTTTGCCTCTAGCATAGAGAGGTATGAGGAGCCAGCGAGAGAAAGCGGGGGATTTTGGGAAAAAATGATTGTGCAAATTATAGTACGATGCATAGCATAGGCGAGTACTGAAACTCCCACTGCGCAAGCGACTTGGGTCATGAACTGGGTACAATGAGAGCTGGGATTTACCATTTTGAGCTGGGTAAATTGGATTTTATGCACTGGAAAATGAGGGCTGAGAAATGGAAAAAGCCCCCCCCCCCCCCCCCCCCCCCAAGAGTGGGGATGATCCAGCGGAAGCCTAGTGCAGCCTGATTGTAGCTGTGTTTCTGGTATTTTTCTCGCGGTTGGTGCTTTTATAGCGGGGTTCCTGTTTGGAGGGTCTGAATGGGGTTTTAAAAAACTAAAACTGGATGCAATAACTGCCAAAGTAATGAAATTCAACTGAACTAGCCTGAAGCCGGCAACTGACAACTAACAAATAAGCGAAAAGATTTACAGTGTAACTGACAAGAGATCATAACTGACATTTCTTTATTTCCGTTTCAAGCAGTCGATCGGACACGAAAATGGCGCTTGGGATACCTGGGGATTGATTGAAACTGATTCTGCGGTATTGCTGCCTCTTGCCGGTGCAGTGCTACATGGACCTCTATCACACGGCAGCCATGTTTATCCTCGTGAGAATAAAAACCTTTGTTTCACCCGCATAAACTCATTCTCAAACTCTTGTATGCGAGGCTACGCGACGTACGCGTGGTAGAATCTATTGTTACGTTCCAACCAACATGGCTGCCGCGTGAAAAAAGGCCCATGATGCCAAGTACTTAAAAGACACTGTAAGCACTCTGCTTTACGACTTTTGAAATTTATCTCATTGGCCAACAAGTGCATTGATGGTTTTCACGACGGCCATGTTGGAGGAACTTAGCAAAAGAATTGTCAATTAATTATTTTGTTATATCCTTCAACATGGCCGCATCTTTTGTTATTTAATTCTCTTGGGAATGGTTAGCATGATAGTCAATGTTGTTAGGTTACAAATGGTGTAACGAAAAATTACCTTGCGAGGGCTCATGACAACTGGTCTTCGATCATTGTCACGTAATTCAAGTCACAGACATAAATAATGTTCGTCCTCGGAGTTGCGATTTGTTATATTAGCAATGCAATTTAAATTATTTAGTGGCTTTGAGAATAACATAAGAGGTATCAAAGATTTGTTTATTCCGGGGTTTTCTTGTATTTATTTCAGTAAGCTTTATTTTTTTGTGGTGTTGTGACACCTGCTAAAACATCAGTTCTGATTGGCTGATCTAAGAACAAAAGAATATGCATTCCATTCTTATCACGTGGCCAGTTAGTATAATGCTCGACTGTAAAACGAATACAAACCTTCAAATTACRTGCAATTCTATCCTATAAACGGCCTGGTCTACTTTATATGCAGCTCCAGAGCATCTTTAACAAAGAAGCAAGTACAAGGCAGTGATTGTCAGCTAGGGATTTGAAATTCCATATCAGAGATTTTGTTTTTTTCTTATTCTTTCGAACTCGCGTAGGATTCCAACGTTACTACGTCCTATAAAGTTCTCAGTTTTACCGCCTTTTAGATTCACTTGGGTATTTTAACAGACCGGAGTATTAATCAAGCATCAGAGTATCTGAGAGGACTTTGGGATTTGATTCTGTGACTTAGATCACAGTTCATTCTGACGAAGTCCGAAGATGACGTTCAACGGGTTGAGTCAGGACTGTTATGGTTCTTAAAAGTTGGCGTCCTATGCGACGGTATCAATCGGTCGGTCCTTCTCAAATCACCTGTGGCTTTCCTTGAAAGATAAACGTCTTTAATTAAACTTTAATAACATATTTTCCGCAAGAATGGCATCGTTAGCTTGGCTTGTCTTTAGTTGAGGAGAAGTTTTTTTGCGTAGAAGTAGAGATGGATGACGATGAGCAAGACGTTTATGTGGCTCAGCTTCACGAAGTCTTCGATAGTTGTGACCGTACTGGGAAAGGTTTTTTAGACCGCGCAGAACTCGTTGAATTGTGTAAAAAACTTCAGTTGGATGACCAAATCCCTCAGCTCTTGCAGCAGTTATTAGGAAATGAGGAATCTAATGGACAGGTAAGGGGAAAATATTATAAACTGACTCTAAAAATAGCTGTTTTTAGTTAAATCATTTGTATTGGCTTTTGTTTTTGGATACTGAAACTATAAACTTTGCCGAAATAAATTATTCTTAAAGCGTATCAATGAAGTGGAAACGTGTGATGCTTTTGTTAGTAGAAAGCCAAATATCTCACTTTTTCTCTGTACCACTTTAATTTTCACTTTTAACAGTAATATATTTTGTACATCCATCACCTAACAAACTATTATGAACACCTCTTCTCGCTTTCTGATCCGAATAAATATTTCTAAAATACAGTGTAAAGTTCTGAGGTTCATTTTGTGTGCCTTGTCATGTGAATCCAGATGTGTGTATAACCTCTAACAATCCAAAATTAGATTGGGAAGTTAGAATGAATACTATATCCAGATTTAATACATGCATGCAATGTCACTAACCTTCTAATTAACGTTTACAATAGTTTATGCATATTGATTTGGACTCTTTTCAAATTTGTGTGTGCGAAGTGTGCCATATCTTTTCATGTATTTATTGCTGTAGTTTGTTTATAGCTGGAAGGATTGATTTTATCTTGACATATTTAGATTGTAGTTATTTGTATTGTGTCTGTATTTGTGGTAATTGTAAAGTTTTCGAGTTTGAAAAACAATTAAACCTACATGCACCCCACATTATCTAGTGTTCCATTATCCAAGTTTTTGAAATCCTAATAAATGTCCTATATTTGAATGCTAAGTGTTGTAGAAAGCATTTTAAGGCATTGCTTCCATAATTCCGGGGGGGGGGGGGGAATTGGGGAGGATTGATGTTATCTTCTATTTAGTATCTTATAGTACAATCAACAAAATTACTTAACTCTGATTGGTCGAGAGGAGTACAATTATAGCGTTAATTGTACTCCTTAGGAGTACCGAATTAAGTTGCTATGGAAACACGGCCAAAACAATGTCAACAGCAGCAAAAAAAAATGTAAAAACTAATAAGAACTAATTTTTTTATGCATTTCAGTTGTGCGATGGACTGAAAATTGGCCGCCAAATAGACAAAGACGAACGGCGTCGCTTCGCATTTTTTTACTGAAATTTTGTTGAGTGAACTGTAAACAAAAAATCACACAATCTCCTCTTACAATTTGGAATTAATAGATACTCTTAATGTTTTGAAAGTTCTTTAATTGCACTCGCCTTTCCTATACAAATCAGCAGAATGCATTACCAATATGTAAATTAGTGTCACTAATCATTATTTAAATGTTATTTTCCCTAAAGAATAAAAGTATCAAAATTATGGTTTTTGGCATTTTTTACTGATCTTTATGAAAATGTAGCTACAAATTGGTTTCTAAGGTAACTGGATGATTGACAGGTACCCTCTTTGTTCTACCAGAAAAATTAGTCACTTAGCAGGCATGTACATGCATTTTTGGTTGCAGACATGACAGATTTAAATCAGTAGATTTACCTACATTCTTATTCATATATTCTATGTTTCAATAACAACTATTTTGTTTTATGTTTCCTTTATCGATAATTTATTGTGTAGGAAAGTCCACAAAATAATCATTACTTGATTTTAGCTTTTTTACAACTTTTATTCATACTTAAGTCTGATAGAATATCATYATTTTGGCTCTTTAAGATTATCCATATTATATATTACTCATAAAAATACAGTATAAAATCCCATATATTGCTTTTTATTATATTAGTTTACTCTAAAACTGTAGTGCATAGCAATGAGAATTGACATATTTACTGATAGGTAATACTGGTTTTATACATGATTACAAAGATATAACTAGCTAAAAACTAGTGTGAGCTGCGTCGGTGTTTCTAATGAAACAGTTATGATGAAAAGGTAAATTATACACCGTGAAAAGATGAAAAAACTTACTGACGTTTCGGACGCTAGTCCGAATCATCCTATTAACATTTCCATTAAACCCATTGTTAACCGCAACTTTTCTCTGCTTGACTCTGATACTCGCACTTCTGCTATTTTCAACAACCGCCCTCTCTTTTC